GCACTCTAGCCCGGGCAACACAGTGAGACTCTGTCTCAAAGAAAAAAAAAAGAGTCATATTAGTGAACTTAGAATCCACTGATGTATTCTACAGTTGGCAATGTCAACTGTGACTTAGACACCAGCGTTCAGCCTTGGGAAGACAAGAATGAGTAAGATCAGCCCCTTGCCCCCCAGTTGCTTAGATTGTGGTGGGAAGAAAGACAATAAACATCCCATTTAGTTACACCATTTGTTCCATAGTATTGTATGTTATAGATCACATGATATCTTCACACAGTGTTATGGGAACACCTAGATTCATGGGCGTCCTTCACAGAAGGGAAGGGAGGTAGGGAAAGAGGAAAGGAGAAAGGAAGGCAGGCAATGTTACAAGGTTAAAATGTGGATTGGTTTTTGGGTAAGTATATATGGATTAGGAAAAATACAAAGCCATGCATTTGAATAGTGAATATGATACTAGAAAATCAAAGCCCTTGTCCTGTCTCCTACTTTCATGGGATGGGACCTGCCTTAAATCCCCCCCACTGATTTATATAAATTATCTGTGAAGTTTTTATATAAAGTATTAGCTGTGTCAACTGAGCAAGCCTTAGAATATAGAGCTGTAAGTTAAGGAAGATGGAGGTATTAGTAACTGTCTTGTCTACCATACAAGGTTAAATTAAATGAAATCATCTAAGTGAACACTTGGAGAACTGTAAAACCCAATATGAATATGTGTTCAGGCTTTCAATGAGTGTTAATCTTGTACCTCCTGAACTCCAGGAAGCACAACATAGCACAAAGGATTAGAGCACGGAATTTATAGCCAGACCGCCCGGGACAGGGGCAAGTTCCTAAGTTCTCTGTGCTTCTGTTGACTGAGGATGAATCGATGACTTTTCAAGGGTCCGGGACAGGTCTGGCACATAGCAAGTGGTGTATAAATGTTTGGTCAATAAAATAGGGAGCCAGATGGGCAGGACCCCAGGCTCCTGGGAGCTTCCATTCCAGTGGGGTGTTAGGTGTTATGGTGATGATTATCATACCTATTGTCTAACTTTCCCTTGTTTTTAAGAAATGGAAGAATTAGCAGAACATGGCGTATTTCTCCCTCCTAACATGCAAGGACTGACTGATGACCAGATCGAAGAACTGAAGTTGAAGGATGAATGGGGTGAAAAATGTATACCCAGCGGGGGTTCGGTATTTAAAAAGGATGACATTGGACGAAGGAATGGGCAAGGTAAGCGAGCCTTTCTCTCACTTGTGCGTGCACATGCCTGAATATACCAGTAAGTAGGAAAGCAATTCTTTAAATTAAAAAATTGATCTCAATGTTTCTATACAAAATTATAAAATACTGTGCTATGTAGCCCTTGCGGTAAAATTCTAATCCATGATAAATCAGACGCATAAAGGAAGTGTCTGTCTTGCTGCTCTTACTAAGTTGCAGCTCACTTATAAATATATTAGATGAACTAGATGAAATTACCATTTTTGTAAGTCAAAAGTGGTTGAGTATTGGCAATTTCATATGGTTCAGCCCACTCATTTTTGGCGGACACTCGTTAAAAATGTGTTCAAGGTTGTGTTTTGTTATTGTTTGCAGATGTTGGGGTTTCTTTAGACACTCTGTGAGAGAGGGGTGGGAATGTCAGCACTGGGTCTCCGCTGGGTCAAGGCCATGCCTGTGTCTGGAGCAAAGCACTTCAGCGGAACACTGGCAGAACACTGAAGAAATTCTCTGTTCAGTATATGGTTGATCACGTGGAATTGGAAGGAAGAAAGGATAATCCTTTTTGATGGCATATCCCTTTTAACCTGCATTAAAAGCTTCATTTAAAAAACTATAATTGATTGTCCCTAAAACACTGTTAGGAGTAGAAGAAATAAAAACAGTATCCCTGGAAGGCCTTTGCAAGCTCAAAAATATATTTTTTAAAATATCGGGGATAATAGAAATTCTTAGTATTATTTCCTTTGACTTGTAACCTGGAAAGTGGTTGTCTCCCATGTCTTTCATACCTAAACTCACTCTCAATCTGGAGAAGTCTTTGCTTTTCAGAAGGAATTATATCAATGAAAAAAATAATATCTCACATGAACCAGTTAACTGTTCATTATTCATCTCTAAACCAGTATACTCTTAAATTATCCATTTCTATTCTGATACAATTTTATATTTGTCATCTTTTTAATATCTAGTTAATATTGTTATTAAGAATAAATAAGACAAAAGGAATTGAGATATTTAAGAAGAGTTTTAAAGAGGCTGTATATTTGATGCTGTCTCTCTCCCTCTCTTTTTTATTTTTATAGCTCCAAATGAAAAAATGAAGCAAGTTTTAAAGAAGACTGTAGAAGAAGCCAAAGCAATAATATCTAAGGTTAGCTTTTTAAAATGATGCTCTAAAGCTTGTCTTTTGAGATAGAAACTCCAGTTATGGCTTATCTCTCAGTCTTTTCCTTCCCTTTTTTCCCCTTTCTCTTCTTTTCCTTTTTTTTCCCCCTTTTCTTTCCCTTTTCCTTTCCTTTTTCTTTTCACCTTCCAGAATTAAAGCAAAGAAGCATGTTTGGAGCAGGCCCTAGCTTTTCCTTTTCCTAATTGTGACAGTGTCCAGAATCCCCCCGGTTCTCATGGGCAGACACACATTTTTGTCAGCTGTGTAAATACAGGTTCATGTGTACCACAAATATGAATTGACGCGTGTTGATTCCGTTTCTTTTACCTTTTTGAAGAACTTAAGCTGAGTAGGGGATATTTGAATATCGCGGCCATAGAATAGCTCTACAGATACTTTATTGACATCATAATATATGTTTCATATAAATAAGTTTGTTGCCATTGTCTTAAGTATTTATACAAAAAGTATTTCGTAGAGGGAGAAGCATAGATTACAGCATTGCCATGCAGATAATGTGCATCTGCCGGAAAAGAATTTAAGGATCTTTAAAGAATTGGCATTTCTATCTTGCTTTTATTTATGTGTTGGTGACACTGATTACTACCACCCTCATCTGCATGTCTTCTGGGTTGACAGTTGCTTTTTCTCCTGCTCTTCCTGGCTTGCTTGGCAAAACTGTGTACTGCCAAAGCAGTATTTCCTGCTAAGCTCTTCACTAAGCTTTTACAAGCTTCAGGAAAGGCTGCCTCTCTGTGTCTGCAAATATAGTCAAGCCTCTGTGAAGCCCCGCGGGAAAGGCCTTGGTTCAATCCAGTGTTTGCAAAATGCATTCGACCACAACAGTTTTTTAAAAAGTATTGATAATAACTGCTAACACCTGGTCACATCAGCACATCTCAGAACATGGTAAGAAAACAGTGGCCTGGACATTGTTCTGCACCCTTCGCCCCCCACACTTTCTGCTGTGGAAGTCTTTCCCTTGTTGCATCATTTCTTCCCTCTGCCCGTGTGCTTCTCAGCGTGCTTTATCCTTGGCCCTCTTCCTCCCTCGGCATTTGTTTCTAACCTGCCAAATGCAGATTCCACCCCCTGCAGATAACTCTCAAACCTCTGTCCTCTACCCATGACGTCTTCCTTAATTGCAAGCTGAATTTCCAGCTGCTTCCGAGATGGTTCTACCCGAACATCCAGCCAACACTTCAAGGTCAGGTTTTCTAGACCTGAACGCATTGTTTCCTCACTCCTCTTCCTCTGTGTTCGGCACCTGAGAATAAGCACGTCCTACATGCTTTTCTTCTTCCAAAACCAGAACCGCCAGTGTCTTGGTTCTAGAGACCGAACCCTCAGTGCCATCTTCAACACTTCCCGCTCCGTCACCCGTGTGCCTTAAGTTCAGTCCTGTACCGTCTGCTCCTCCGATGCCTCTCAAATCCACCGCCTCCTCCCACTTCCACAGCTACCACTTTATTTAAAGCCCTTCTGTGGCCTTTTGTCTTCTAGCACCAACTGCGTCATCCTACCCTTCAACCCAGTTCTGACACTAACTACCTGGACTTAACATCAGATGCCACAAGTTTTTGTTTTGTTTTCTCTTTTTTTTCCTACGCACCCCGCCCCTGTTTTGCTTTTTTGAGACAGAGTTTCGCTCTGTTGCCCGGGCTAGAGTGCCATGTTTTGCTTTTTTGAGACAGAGTTTCGCTCTGTTGCCCGGGCTAGAGTGCCATGTTTTGCTTTTTTGAGACAGAGTTTTGCTCTGTTGCCCGGGCTAGAGTGCCATGGCATCAGCCCAGCTCACGGCAACCTCAAACTCCTGGGCTCAAGCAATCCTCCTGCTTCAGCCTCCCTAGTAGCTCAGACTACAGGCACTCGCCACCACGCCCAGCTAATTTTTTCTATTTTTAGTAGAGACAAGGTCTCGCTCTTGCTCAGGCTGGTCTCCAACTCCTGACCTCAAGCCATCCTCTTGCCTCGGCTTCCCAGAGTGCTGGGATTACAGGTGTGAGCCGCTGCGCCCTGCCTCAGATCCCACAGTTAAAGGGCAAGGTCATCCACAGGACTCTTCTTACTTCAGACACCAGCCACAGTGGGGTCCCCGGGCTACCCATACTTCTGTCGGACCTGGCCACAAGTTGGGGCTTCCTATGACACCCCTCTTCAGGTTCCGTCATTCACTAGAGGGACTCTCAGAACTCACAGGAAGCATATGCTGTGTTACAGTTTTATTCTAAAGGCTACCTCAAGAACAGCCAGATGGAAGAGGCACATGGGGGCACTGGGGCGCAGAGCTCCATGCCCTCGCCTTCTGGAATCCAGTCGCGTCACCAGCACGTCAATGTGTTCACCATCCAGGAAGCTCCACTGAGCCTTCATGTCCAGAATTTTTATCGAGGCTTCGTTACATAGATGTGACTGATTAAATCACCAGCCATGGGACCGAACTCCGTCCCCAGCCCCTTCCCCTCCTTGGAGGTGGTGGGGGTGAGGCTGGTACTTCGACCCACTAATCATGTGCTCCGTCTTCCTGGCGTGGCCAGCCCCTTCCTTGTGCCAGCCGTGGGTTACCATGTTAGCACAAACGCAGGTATGGTGAAAAGGGACTCATGGTAAATAACAGAAGACACTCCTGTCACGCAGGAAATTCCACAGGTTTTTGAAGCTCTGTGCCAGGAACCAAGTACAAAGACCAGATATATTCTCTATTGTATCCACCTTCCTCTGTGCTGTCCAGAGCCCACTGCCTGGTCTCCTTCCGACTAGGTCTGTTCCACACCCACTGCAAGATGACTCTCCCAACCTTACCACTCCTTCCCAGAAAGGCAGTCGCTGTCCACGGCCGACAGGGTGAACGCGAACGCCTCAGCCTGGGTTTCGTGGCCAGTCAAAAACAAACTCCAGCCTACCCTGCCAGCCCTGCCTTCTCCTTCCTGCCCCACGCCGAGGGGACTCTTACAGTCTGCTTTATAATATGGACCACAGGGTAGCTAGCTCAGCTCCTGAACTAGATGGCAGTCACTTTGGAGAAGAGCCGTTTGGTTCCTTTTTGTTGCCCTGGCAGTGTCTGCCAAGGGTCTTGTACAAGGACGTGGTTGGTGAGTGTGGAATTGGTCCGCTGCCTTGTGGGTAACGGTGGCTGTCCGCTTTCAGAAACAAGTGGAAGCCAGCGTCTGTGTCACTATGGAGATGGTGAAAGACGCCTTGGACCAGCTTCGAGGGGCGGTGATGATTGTTTATCCCATGGGGTTGCCACCCTATGATCCCATCCGGATGGAATTTGAAAATAAAGAAGATTTGTCAGGAACTCAGGTATGTGGTTCTTGGGCACTCTAGAAGGTGAGTTCATGTCCCCCAAAGCCCTCCGGATTTGCCTCCCCTCTGGTGGATGTAGCTCTTTGCTTTGTGCACAGCTTTCTGTCCTTGCCGTGCTGCGCTTCCGAGCAGAGTTCTGAGTACCGGAGGGGACCCTGAGTGTGTGAGGGGTTTGGCCCCCACACGGAGAGGCAGCAGAGGCCGTGTGTGGGGCTGGCATTGGGAGTGAATGAAAACATTTCCGCTGTCTTTGGCTGCTGGGAAGCCAGAAACCTTATTTGTTCCTATTTCTACCCAAACGTATTGGTCCTTTTGCATGGAAATTTGTGTTCTACTCTTAATCCTTGCTTCATGTTATTTTCTTACCTTGATACTCCATTTTTCTTTGTTTTTCTCACTTATTGCTTATCCTATTGGACGGTTTTTCTCTAAGGCATCTTAAATAGGTGGACTATGCAGAAGCAAACAACAGGCCCATTATGACTCTGTTAAGCAGGAGCTGGGCACAGTGGCTCACGCCTGTAATCCCAGCACTTTGGGAGGCTGAGGTGGGAGGATCGCTTGAGGCCAGGAATTCAAGACCAGCCTGAGCAACATAGCAAGACCCCATCTCTACAAAAAAATTTTAAAAAATTATCTGGGCGTGGTGGCGTGTGCCTTTAGTCCCAGGTACTCAGGAGGCCAAGGCAGGAGGATCGTTTGAGCCCAGTTGTTTGAGTCTGCAGTGAGCTATGACGCCACTGCACTCCAGCCCAGGCAGCAGAGCGAGACCCTGTCTCAAAAAAACAAACAAACGAAAAAAAACAACTCAGCAGGATCCCAGTATTCTTCTCTGGCGGTAACCTGCAGATCCATCTAACAGGGACCTTATGTTATGGACGAGGGTGCAGGTGAGAGGACACTCCCCATTTCCTGGAGTAAGAGGTTCACTGAGTCGAGGCATGAGGTGAAACTTACAGGGAAGGTCCTAAAATCAGCAAGGACTTTGACTTTGGGGCCTCCCATGGGAGGCATGGGGAGAGAGCAGGGGGCCCGAAGCCTGTCCCCTGTCCCCTGCCAGGCTCTGCTCCTGGGGAGGCACCACAGCTGGGGGTGTGGCTCCTTAAAGCCGGCCCTTACGATTGGCCTCAGGCAGGACTCAGCGTGATTAAAGAATCAGAGGCACAGCTGTGGTGGGCGGCCAAGGAGCTGAGAAGAACGAAGAAACTTGCAGACTACGTGGGCAGAAATGAAAAGACCAAAATTATCGTCAAGATTCAGCAAGTAAGTACTTGGGCTTTAACACGTCAGTATCTTTTGTTATTTGCTTTCAAACCGATAAAAATTTGCGGTGCATCTGAAAAATTTAAACTACTTGTGCAAACTACTATTTTAATCCTATTGGCTTGGGCTTAAACTAAAAATATCCTCTTTACCAGCAAAAACTGGAAGGAAACATGGATCCATTGGCAATAACTGGAGTTTGTTTTCATTTGTGAGGGAAGGAATATGCCATGTTGATTTCAACCTTAAAAATATAGCCACAAGTAAATAAATACATTTCTTGAAATGAAAAGTACAGCCCAGAGCGCTGATTCAAGTTTTTTCAAACTGCCGATGCTCTGTAAACGAGGAGGAAGGCTCAGAGGCCTTTGAAGGGTGTCGTGACATAGAGCTGTCTTCCTGCAAGGCCACCTTGGTTTTGTGCATGCTCGTAAGTCATTAGCTGTCATTTTGGGGAAACCAGGCCCTCCACCAATATCTACACCCACAGCCTGTGGCTCTGGGCACCTGCCTCCCCCACTGGAGCCACACTGGCTGCCTTGGAAATGGCCGCGACAGCGATGGCATCTGGTCTCCATCCAGCGCTCAGGGCCGCTGAAGACCAAGGCCTCACTCTGGGTGATCAGATGTGGGTGACTTGTTCATCTTTAGCAGTTGGCAAAGGCAATTATAAAACATTCGCTATCACTTCCGAGATTGTCACCATGAGAACGCCTTAATCCCCAATTTGCTCTCGCACTAACCTTTTCAGAGGGGACAGGGAGCTCCAGCCCGAGAACCTATTATTAGCAGCGAGGAGCAGAAGCAGCTGATGCTGTATTATCACAGGAGACAAGAGGAACTCAAGGTACCCACCCAGTGACAGATGGGACTTCCACAGAGCTGGCACCCAAGGGTGTACCCTGCCTGTCTTACCTGGGGCGGGGAGGGGGGGGTGATGAGTCCTGCAGGATGTGGTTGGGGGGCTTTCTGGAGCTTCCATCTGTTGAGGGCTGTTGGGCCCTGCCAGGTGTCCCCCAGCGTTAGGCCCTGGAAATGTCCTGCTTTTGGGGTGGCTAAGAGCAGGGAGGTTGGCCATGGATTCTTTCTTCAATCTCTTTATGTCTTCTGAAATGCCTTCCTGAATAAAACGTATTTATTTTTTTCCAGAGACTGGAAGAAAATGATGATGACACCTGTTTAAATTCTCCATGGGCAGATAACACTGCTTTGAAAAGACATTTTCACGGGGTAAAAGACATAAAGTGGAGACCAAGATGAAGTTCACCAGTTGATGAAGCTTTCAAAAATATTAGCTCACCTTTCTTTTAGGCGAAGTAATTATAATAATAAAAAGGACACCCACCACCCTCTATAAAAGATGTTGAGATTTCTAGTTTTCTTAGTTTTCTTTTAGCTTGAATTTTCAAAATAGTTATTCAAGGTTTTAGAACTTAATAAATACATCCTCAAAAGAAAAATGTGTAACTTATTTTTGCTTTGGGACAGCTATTTAGTATCTCGGGGTTTTCTGCAACAAAATACTAAAAATGTAATTACAAACTTTTTCATCTTTCTGATTCCTGTGTTTTTTATATTCTCGTGACAACTTGGAGGAAATCTGAAAGGACCTTTTCCTTAGCAAGTCGAATACTTGATATGAAACGTGACTGTCAGTGACCACTAGAGGCCGCCAGCCACCTGGCGTGCCGTTCTCTCCCGGCGCTGTTGGTGGATGTGTTTAAAGCCAAACTCTCAACCTTGTGTGAGGGACTCCTGTGATGCCGCTGAAGAGTCTAACTGTGGCCAGGCATCCCCCAGCCTCGAAGGTGAAGTTCACCTCCTGGTCGATGCCTCTCTGGCCTTGTCTTCCCAGAGTAAGGGCTACACCTGCGATGTAAGTTGAGTGGCCAGACTCATCTAACCTTGACACTTAAATTCTTCTGTCGTTTCTCAGCTTCTCACGTCTCCTTCATCAGAATAGATCCTGAAAATGAATTCGGACCCTGATAAAGTGCAGCTCTCCCTGTGGACGGCAGAGTCTGGCTCCAGGCTCAGCTTCCGGCTCTCAGCGTGCTGAGGTTTGCCCCCAGGGGACTGATGGTGTCAAACTTGGGCTCAGGGACCATCCGCAGGATGCACTGGACCCATCGTCCTCACTGGATGTTTTAGGACACCTTTGATTTTAAATACTCCAACTCCTCATCCCTGTAAACCATTCAAGTAGCCTACAAGCCCTGACAGCTCAGCATCTGAAGGATGACTCCCAGACGGCCTGTAGCAACCAGAAGTGGCCTAGAAATTTCCTCACGCTTGTCTTTTGGTGTCTAGAATCTGTTCCCCTAGTTAGAGGAAAGGCAGCGTGCTCGCCCTGAGAGAAAGTGAAGGACACGGGGCATTTCCGCTGCCCTGGCCTTCCTGCCCGATGCCCGACCTCCCACCATCCTGTATAGAGCAGCCACGGGAGCGAGGGCAGGTGGCATGGGGGCAGTGCCCGCCTGCTGAGGGGCAGCCTTTCCCAGGCCCGGGATCCCTGACTTCATCACGGGACAGTGTTCTCTGAAGTGGGCTGCGTCTGACTGTGCATCTTGGTGCGCCTCACTCTTTTGGTCGATTGTCAAATTTCGTAAAACCAAATTTGCCTCATTTTCATTTTTACTTTATCATTTTCAACGTCTCTGTGAATAGTTTTTGGCTTTGGATGATATAAAATTTGCAATAAGATCCTATGGTTTTATTTAACGAGCATCCTTTGCGAATGTTCAGTGTATGTGCATTAAATTCATACTCACGCTTGCAAGAGAAAGTTAATGAAGCCACGTGATCACGGTAGATCTTTTTAAGAACTGCTCCTTCCATTTCATTAGGAATTCTTGTTGACCCAGTGGGACATGGATGCTCTAAGTGGCCATTATACTTACTCTCTTGCTTTATATGATCAGCAGAATTTCCTAACCAAAGAGTCTCTCACTTGCGAGTAAAGAGATCTCTAGGTTGTTAGCATCACACTACACTACTGAGTACTCATGTAAAAAAAATAAGCCTCTCCCGGCGCTTCTCTGCCTCAAAGCCCCTGAGCTCGGTCTGTTCAGAAGCAGCAGCTCTTTGGGATGTAAGCAGGTGGGAAGCCCCTTGACAAGCCGTCCATGCGGAAGGGGAGGCAGGCGGCCCCTGGCGCCCGCTCTGCTCACTGCACTGTGGGTTAATTCACTTTGCATCCACCCGCTGACTCATCTGAGGTCACGTAGCTAGTGATGGCAGGGACAAGGGGTCACACCCAGGACTTCCCAAGAAACCAATTTATCAGCAGAAGTCATCAACTGAAGTATGTGGTCTGGAGTTACTTTCTTTTTCCATCCAGTACTACTTTGGATCCATGTCAAAAGGAAACGAGGTGCCTGTTGTGTGCACGGTGCCCATCTGGGTCTGTGGTTTTGTCCTTTGGCATAACTTGTCCTCTTACATGATTATTTCATGGAGACCAGGAATGCTAGTAATAAAATTCGACACCACCTAAAATCCTTTTGAACAGCAAACCGACAGCAGCGGGCAGTGTTTCTGTCACAAGATGACCTCGTTCCTTGGCAACTGCGCTGTGAAGAATGTGCCATCTAGCTTGAAAGGAACCACCACATGCTCGGAGCACAGTTACCAGGAGGGGGTCTGAGCTCTGCCAAATTCTCTGCCAAAGCCTCAGCAACCACCCCCTTGGAGAGGTGACAAGGGGACTGCTCACGGCCCACCACGCTGTGATTGTCACAAGTTCCCAGGAGTCACCACTCCGCACCGCTGAACGTCCTGCTGGTCCCAGAGAACGCCGAAGGAGAGATGTGGTTGATTCCCAGGAAAAGCTCAACACTGGACGTGATGATAGGAATGGCAGCTGGCGTTTACTGGGACCTTACTATTTCCCAGGTGGTGGGTGCTGAGCACTTTACCTATATTTTTTCATGTATACCTCATAGCCAAGTTAGGGAAAAACTACTATTGTTGTCATTTCATGAATGAGGAAACCAAAGCCCAGAAAGGTTAAATTGCTCAAGATGAAGCATCTCAAAATCACCCACTTGCCCCACAGTCTGCCGTTAACATACAGTAAGTTTCTGCTTGTACCTCATGTAGTCACAAACCACAAGCCAGTGAACAGTGACGAGTGCACGTCTGTGATGGCCCAAACCTCGAGTGGCCTCTCTGGAGAGGGCCGATGGCAGCCTTTGATAGGTTTAATGTCTGAGCCAACAGTGACGAGAGTGTGGTTCCTTAGACTCGGCTTTGGTTCATCTTGTGGTCCAGTCCACGCAGGCTGCCGAAGCAGAACACCATAGCCTGGGTGGCTTATAAATGACAGATTTCTTTCTCACAGTTCTGGAGGCCGGGAAGTCCAAGACCAAAGCACCAGCAGGGCAGATTCTGTATCTGGTGAGGGCTGCTTCCTTACTCAGACGCCTGTCTCTTCACTGTAACTACATGGTGGAAAGGGCAAGAGGTGTCTCGTGTCCCTTTTATGAAGGCACTAATGCCATTCTTGAGGGCTTTACCCTCATGCCCTAATCACCTCCCGACGGCCCACCTCCTAAAGCTGTCACCTTGGGGGTTAGGTTTCAACATAAGAATTTTGGGGAGCACAAATACTCAGTCCATAGTAGTTCACCAACAACTAACTGTGAGGGGGAAAAAGATACGTAAGCCCATCCCTGAGATGCTGTAAGCAAATACAGACACTGGCTCGACTCTGAAAACTACTGCCCCAAATGACAGAAGAATGAGGCTGGGGTTGCATCCCAGCTCTGGGAGAGACCCCATCTGCTTGAAGGCCTAGCACAGGCAGGTCACAGGTTTCTTTGCTGGTAGGATTCTAGGTCATTCTAGCATGGTTCAGAGGTTAAGGGATAAACAGATTCCCACAGGCTAAGCCCTGGTCTATCATTACTTCGAATGGATTGAATTCTATGTATAGATGGTCCCAGACTTAAGAGTTTTCGGCTTTAGGCCGGATGCAGTGGCTCACGCCTGTAATCCTAGCACTCTGGGAGGCCAAGGCGGGTGGATTGCTCAAGGTCAGGAGTTCGAGACCAGCCTGAGCAAGAGCGAGACCCCGTCTCTACTAAAAATAGAAAGAAATAATCTGGACAACTAAAAATACATATATAGAAAAAATTAGCCGGGCATGGTGGCACATGCCTGTAGTCCCAGCTACTCGGAAGGCTGAGGCAGTGGGATCACTTGAGCCCAGGAGTCTGAGGTTGCTGTGAGCTAGGCTGAAGCCATGGCACTCTAGTCCAGGCAACAGAGTGAGACTCTCTCTCTAAAAAAAAAAAGTTTTCGGCTTTATGATGGTGCAAAAAAGATATACATTCAGTAGAAGCCGTACTTCAAATTTTGAATTTCCATCTTTTTCTGGGCTAGTGGTATGTAGTAGATACTCTCTCTCCAGCCCAGCTCCCCGTCAGCCCTGCGATCATGCAGTAAGCACCCCATACTCTACAGCGGACTGTGTTGCCAGAGAATTCTTCCCAACGGTAGGTTAATGTAGTGTTCTGGACATGCTTAAGGTAGGCCAGGCTATGTTTGGTAAGTCAGGTGTATTCAATGCATTTTCGACTTATGGCATTTTCTACTTGTCATGGGTTTATTGGGAGGTGACCCCATCACAAGTCGAGGAGCATCTGTATTCAGACCAAGAAAACAGCGGCATGGCTGTCTTGCTATTCCAGCACAGAGGCAGGATTCCAAGAGAGCACGTGAGCCAGCATCCTTAGGAAACACAGAATGTGAAGCGCCAAAACCCCATTTGTAGTTTGGTTTCGTAACATAAATCCCCGCCCCCACACCCAGCCACGTCGGGTGACAGCCCTGCCAAGCAGCCACATAACCGCAGCTTTGTCCCTGCCTTTCCCCTGAACCTCTCTTGATTGCACGTGGTACCGCAGCCCCAGGTACCTACGCGCATTCCAACACTGTCCCCTGGCTCATTGCAAGACGCAGTCGGGAGCCAGGGGTGCAAGTCTACGACCGTGAGAACCGCCCTGTGCCCCTCCTCCACCCCGCCCTTGTTCACAGCCTTTTGACTCCAGATGAAGCCTGAGGCTGAGCGACACTGGACATGACTGGGTATAATAAATACTGACCATGGCCTCTTCTTCCCCTTCCCCACCTGCTTCTGCCCCATCCCCTGGGGCAGGAAGCTGCAACTGCGGCATTATTCTCGTGAGTTCTCCCTCCTTGGTATCTTATATGTATCTGCTGGGGTGAATCTCACAGGCTCAGAGCAACCCTGAGTTCTAGTGATGAATTAGCAAAATATAAGCTCTTGCTATCAGAATCCTTAATTCTGGCTAAATCACTTGCTATTGCAAAGATAAGAGGGAGGGAGATAAAGCAATTCAGGGCTTTGACAGGCAGACCCAAACCCCCAGACTGAGAGCTGCCCGAGTGTGCCTGCTAGACCTTCACACCATGAACTCAGCTCTCAGGAGCAGAC